GCTAACGGGAAAACGAATGCAGCGCAAATGTCGCAAAGCGCGAGATATGACAGTGCTTAAGTCATTGGATTTGAACATGATACGGTGTAAACGTTGTGCAGAGCATCATTTGTATCATATTACTGATGAGTCATCAAGAGTAATTTTACCCAAAAAAGTATTATCAATTAAAATCTTCTAATACATTTCACTTATTTTTGTAATAAAGAAACATTAATTCAATTGCTACCTGTAAATTTTGATACAAAAAAAGTAAAAGTAGTGGAAAGTGACCGGAAGTTCATCGTTGTTATGACTATTTTTTGAATGAATCACTATTTGAATAGCCATCTAACAAAACTAGAAGTTCTGGAAGGAAGAACGGAAGAAACTAAAATAGTGAAAGGAGGAGAAGGATGGTTGAGGGAATTGCCGTGGAATATAATTTCTATCAGTTGGCGGTGACAATGAAAGGGAAAAGATGGGGAAATGAGCTCGATTTGTTGCAATTCTTTTAACTTAAATCCAATGGAAGAAGGCATATTTTTCAGCAAAAAAAAATTTAACTGATAGAAAGAAGAAAGAAAAATATGGAGTTTTTTATTTTTGTTTTCTGAGAAATTTGAGGTGATAAATCTTACAACGAAATTGAGAAAAGGAAGTGCTTTTCCACCTATTTCTATTGATACAGCAAAATGATGATGCTCAGTTCAACTGTAAGCTTTAGAAATGAAGGGAAAAGTTATTTGACATGTTTTGCAGGGCATCGAAATTCTTTTTACTCTCCACCTGCCGAGCATAAATTTTAATCCGAAAAATGTCTGCTTTCACCGATTCAGTTCACTGTCAGCGGCATGCTTATTTCAATCATCCGTACAATCATTTCCATTGTCTGTCACAATTCTTCCTTCCATTACCATAATTCTGCAGTTACAATTGCTTAAGAGAATTTCATTTCCATATATGTTCATAACATATATGGAAAAGACGGATACGGACGCATATGGCAGGGAGAGAGAAGTGAGGGAAAGAAAGGATGCTTCGATGGTTAATGTTTTTCAAACACGATCAATTTACCATTATTTACCAATTGATACTCTTTTTGTTCATTCCCGCACTATCGCGGAATACAGTAGGAAAAGAAATATGAGATGAAGAAAGAGGAAGAAAATATACCGTGTCTTACTTGATGTATTATTCAATCAGTTGCTCTTCTTGCTCCTTTATTTTGTTACATTTTTATAATTGTTTACTTTTCTTATTAGCAATCTTATTACGATCATTCAATTGCCATTGTCTGATTACGATCTGTCGAATTCATTCATTGAAGGCCTATCAATGGATCATTCGATCCGATCATATTCTTACGTGGTGACCTCTTCTTTCTGCTCTCGTTTGTCTTCATCCATCTCGTACATGTATATAGTATACATTTGTTTTTTTTGAATAACGAATATAACTCCAAAAATGTATGATTAGAACACACAAACACACAAGCACACACACACACAAGCATACACACACATGCACACATATGGATATATACATATACATATACGAACGGCTTATTTCAAAGAAATTTTTCTCAAAAATTTTATTGGCATAGTTTGCAGTGATAATTTTTTGCTGTCTGTGTGTGTATGTGTGTGTGTGTATGTGTGTGTGTGTA